AATCATCATCAGACCCAATAGGCGAATCTAACATCTAACATTAAATAGCTTCTTACAGGAAATTTATTCAAACCAAAGTACGTTCACGTAACTGTGAAATCGAGTATCAATTTGATGTTTCAATAATAAAGTCATATAGAATGGGAATATACATCCTTTATAGTTGAACATTGCTCAGCAAAGACTATTTTAACATGCAATTTAAGACAAATGCAGAGCACTAGAAATTTATCTATGCATGAATACACTATATCCATGACGTTTTGGTAATTTCTACGTAAGGATAAAGGATAAAACATAAAAAGCTGTATATTTGACTTTTAATTCACACACTGGTGCTTCATTGATAATCCTCAATCAACAAATCTAAAAAAAACAAAAAAAAACAAAAAAAAACTGTTGTGTTACTAGTTTTGCATCTAATAATAGATAGTGTTTTAACTGTTATTTAACTAATATTTCCAGTATTATTCTCAAAGTTTTCATGGACACGTGTTGGAAGTTTTCAATCATGTTCACTCTTTGCCATGAGGCTAATCAATCTTGGGCTCCGTTTGGTAATGAACCTAGATTTTGACTCCTCATGTTTTATTTACTGGTTCTTGATGAAGCGGTAAAAGTTTGATTTATAATTTTCACTCAGGTTTACCTAAATAAGTTAGTTAGAACATTTGATAGATTTTAATTTTGAAACAATTGGTTCATTATGTACGGTAAAAACACTTAACCTGTAATATTAGTGATATTTAATTATTAGGAAGCTAACCGGTTAACTAATTCGTTTGCCTATCAATATTACAGTGCTTGATTTCTATACTTTATAAAAGAATTCCATATATAACTTTTAAGGGAGCGAACTGGTCTAGTGGTAGGCATCGGTTGAGGGGTAAAATGCCACCGATCACCAATTGATTATGATGTTGTCACTGAATATAGTGTTATATTCAACGCTATAGGCCTGGTTGAAACTAAGGTCTAACACAGTTCTTTTCTAGAGCTTTACGTTGTGAAGGTAAGAGTGTAAACCAAAAACTTCATACAATAATTCGGAAGTAAATTTAGTATTCCAAAAAATACACGACTCAATGGATACTATAAACTAATTTTAGTTGGATCTTGAAAGTAATGAATATGCCACATCTTAGGTGCTTTGTACAAACTAATTGTAACACCTTAACTAAATACTTAAACATCTTAAGAATCACGGTTGTATATACAAGTTTAGCTTACGTTACTTTCATGGTAGCTTTTAGGTGAGAAACATATTACTAGAAAATTGAGCAACTATATAGGTGGGATAAATGGTTTGGTAAAATAGTTAGGAGATATAATATGTAGATTTTGATTAATTATTGAATTTAACATTCAAATATAGACAATTTACATGGTGATTCTAAGTGTTATAATGTAGAAAGCATACCTTAATATTGAATACTGAAATATATTGTTTGCATAAACAAATTATACAGGATACGGCAACGTAAATAAAGTTTTTAGAGCTATAAATGTAGATCACCTTTAATACTGTACATTGCCTTATTTGGTGTTTCCATGTAAATATTGAACTGTTTCATAATAAACACAATCATTCATATTGTTAAATTGCCTGAAAAGTGCTCACTTGAAATAAAGCTCACTAGAACAATCAACGTTAGTAATAGCAATTGCCTAGATTGTTTGTATTAATTTTTCCCTTATATTTTTAAGTGCATGCATTTACTTAGCACAGTCAATATGAACAAGATATATTGTCACAGTGTTGTAATGGCTGACTTAACCTGTATCTTGTTTACCTTTAGGTACGATATTACCAACAGCTGTTTGCAAACGAGAAACAAATTAGTCTTATATTATGTCGATTGTCCCATAATAATGATGTCTAACAACAATATAACAATGAAACAGCTGATTTCATGTTTTAACAATATTTGTTGTTCACGACTTACCTCATATAATTAACTAGAAATAGTGGCTCAAAGTCTAACATGTTTGTGAGTTTTGATGAGTTTCCTTCATAATTTTCAAGACATTTTCAATATTACAAAACCTGTTGACTACATAATTTAACGAATTTCACAAACGTTTTTTCCTTTAGAACTTTAAATCTATTTAGGAAACTTGTCTAAAACATGTTATAATTCTTAACGGAATTTTCTTGATTTTAAAGTTGACATTTTTAATATTTGCAAAACTGAGTATAGTCTACAGAATTTATTAAGGAATCACAACAACTGTTTTTCCTTTAGATCATGACGTACTTTTAAGTCACATTTTTATTGTAGCCGGTTCTTATGATTTCCACTGTACTTTTTACACTGCACAACCTTTCAACAAGTCCATGTTAAGGAAGAAATTAATTATGTAGTTTTTCTACAAATCATCTCTCTTTTCAGTACCGTAATGTTCTCATTTTGAATATTTTATTATTCTCTTTGTACATATGAAGACAAAAATAGTATACTTTTAGGTATTCTTAGTAAAAGACATGACAACTTTAGTTGTATGTAAGCAGTGGGAAAATATTGCAGGAGTACGTTGTATGGTTCCTCTTATCCATTTTAATATGGACATCCTTAACATTTACGCCTTTCACAATTTTTCATGATAATGTTAGTGGTGTCTTCTTAACCAGAAATTGACTTTAAAATTAAAATTGGGTCAAAATTGTAAACTTTCTGATTATATAATTTAAAACCTTTGTATCACTATAATGACCTACAGTCATTATAGAACACATACATTTGTGTCTAATGATCTGTAAAAGTTAGTATTTTTTACGATTTCTTGCTTTCACTAAATTATTTAGTTACTCGTACATTTTAGAGAAATGATTGACACTTCATTTACACGTTTTATAATGTAAAAACACATTATTTGTCACTTACCTCACCAAAGTTTTACGTGATTTAAATATCTTTACCTACGACCGTTTTTTAAAGTAGCCGTTTCAGTACAGTTCTTAGAATTGAAAAGTATCTCATAACAGCATTGTTTACATTCATAACAGCATACTGTAGTTTTACTCATAACAACACGGGTAACGGACCAATGAGGCTCAAGGATTGAGAGAGGAGAAGCAAAATTGTAATGATTTGAAATTCAACTAATCAGCTGTTTAGGCCAATTTAATTGTTGATTGGTGCAATTAGTATTTGATACAATGTTTCGTTGCATCAATGTCAGTGGCAATTAGAGGTTATAAACAAAAACATAACCTCTCTAAGAAGTTATCAGTAATAATTTTTAGTAATTAAAACACCGTCGTAGGTAAAGTAGTGTACGCAGTACGCAACTCGCGTAAATAGTGTTAACGACACTCGTAGACGTTTTTAAGGCACTCACCAAGGTTCGTACCTTAAATTTTCTACTCGTGTCGTTAACACTATCTTTACGCGCGTAAACTACTATTGGTAAACACCTGAAAGCTGTGTGCATTGATCGGATCTTTGAAAATGACTTAACAAAAGTATTTTCCATACTAAAATATTAGAACTGCACTTTATTATAGTTATTGTAGTAACAATGACTTGTTTTACAAGATAAACCAGTAATAGAATTAATTTCAACGGATTTTGAAGTATATTGTCTAATTCATGTATCACACAAAATATTTATGAGATCTGTGTGACAAATAACATTACCATAGCACATTTAATAAGAATATAACATCAATAAATCAGGTTTACGACCCCTGAATAACCGTTAACAGCTATTTCAAAGAAACAGTGTTTCAATTTGTGGTTTAAAACGATAATCTTTACTTTATATCCACCCATTTAGCACGAAATACTAATCAATGAATAACTAATCCACACGAATAAAGGATGTTGAAACATTCGGTAGTCTTATGATTTAAACTCTTGTTTTTATGTAGAGAAACCAGAACTGTCCTTGTGTGTAATAGATGGTAGACATACCTTGTAGAAAATATACATGTCTTGATTTATATTTTGATACGGATATTATACAGATTCCTATTTAGGAAACTATCATGTTATTTGTCTCGCCATTATCTTACCAAAACTCTTTAGGTTCAAATTGTAAACACTGTTTTCCCGGTAAAAAGCTATCCTTGTTTAAGAATCATGTATATGGGTAGTAAAAGGCTTGCACATGAAATATTCAAAGTCGGAGCATATAATTTTGAATCCAAACACCAACATGTATTATAGCCATTAAAAGATATTTTGAGTAGGTGGTGTTGCTAAATGGTGTTTGTTGATAATACTTTAGCATTACAGTAAAATACTTTTAAAGAGACACCTTTATTGCATTAACTCAGTTAACTGGATTAAATCCTTACATTCATCCTTTGTCCATTATATGGAAGACTATTTCAATTGTAGACCTTCTGCAGGTTTGCTGTTGCGGGGGTACTTCTATTTTTCCCTATGCAAAACAAATGCTAGTTAATGCTAAACTATGGACATTTAACGTAAAGTTGAATGTGAATAAGTAAGACTTCTTAAAATAAATTCGGTAATATGTTTGTAAAATAAACATACGAATGATTTATTAAATTGGTACTTCTCTGTAATCAATGACAAAGTAATATCAGGCAGTATGGAGCATGATGGAAGTATTTACTTCCACCATGGTATGGAGGAGAGTCGTCCAACGTTTGAGAACCTCATGGCGGAGCAGGGCCCATTGTTGTACCAAGGCGCTGGCAGACGTAGTCCAATAGTAGTTATCTCATGAAAAAAATTGTTTCACAGCACTCACTGGCAAGCCATGTGAAACATCTGGATTTGAAATGTTTCAAGTTGTTTACTTAATCGTAAACATAAAAAAAACAAAATTAAGAGCGTGAAGAGAAGTGATGGGTATTTAAAAAACTGAACACATTACTAACAGACTTAGCCAAAATATTGCATTAATAACAAACATTATCTTTTTGTAAATCCAGTGTTATCAATGGTAGTGATGGTTGTAAGAAGAGTAAGAAGTGTAAACAAAAAGGAAATAAATAAAAATAGATTCATTTAAGGGCTGTATAATATTATAAACTGTGTTTTCGAATTATACAGAATTTAGGAGACTGTACAACATAATACAAACATATTACAACATTAAATCATAATTCGTTGGAACACATAACGCGATGTACCTGATCTGCTTGTGACTCGGTACATGGCTTCAACTTCAAGGTACGAATGACTTATAACGGCACAGAGGCAACCACGACTGTACGCGAAGGAACGCAGGAGATAAAATACACATGGCTTATACTGTATATTTGTATTCACATAGATATATCGGTCGAGAGTTCAGCACAGGACTATGCTAACCAATAATGATACAGTAATATACACTACACAGGCTGTTGGCGAGAAGCTACGTTATTGCTAAGTTTCCATCCTACGACAAACACTCTTTCCGTCACGTTTATGTTTAATACAAATCTCTTTGTGCATTTAAAGCTATCGACTAATAAACAATAATATAACGGGTTGGGGGCCGGGTATGTACAGTACGGGTATGTACACTCGTAGTTATGTACACGCGTATGTACAGAGTATGTACACGGGAGGCATCAGTCTCAACGTACGACGATGAAGCCTCCCTCGGCCGCCTCTCATTTACTCGAGTCTTCGCACTTGACGTGATGGTGGTTGAGGAGGTCGGGGTGGGCCGTAGCTTTTACTTCTAGTCCGTTCACCATCTTCTCTATGCTCTTGAGCTCGCTGGCAGTGGACCCCGTGTCCGCTGGCTTGGGCGACGAGGAAGGAGCGTCTGGGGACGCGGTAGGAGGAGGCGATGGTTGTTGTAGCGACGGACTAGTCGTGCCTGGAGTGACTGTCTCGAACGCGCTGCCCAGTGGTGATCCCCCGACCACCGAGTGTGGGGTCACGGGTAGTGAGTATGGAGCGAACCTGTGAACTCCTGAGGCGAGGGCTGCGGCTTTGAGCGAGTGCGAGTGCGGATGTGGGCTGAGCCCGGCGGCCGCGCTGTACGCTGCGTGGTTGAAGAAGGGATGTTGCGACGCCAGGGCGAGCGTGTTGAAGGCGAGGAGACTGGGCGAGTGATGCGCGGCCCCGAACAGTGACAGAGGGTGTCCAGGGCCCAGCAGAGGATGGCCCCCGCTGGCCCCGGGGTAGAGGCCATGGTAGCCGAGGTAGGGCAGTAGTGGAGGTGGCGGGTGTATAGGAGGTCCCACTGAGATGTTTGGTGAAGGGTAGTCGCTGTTGCCCTGCTGCTGACCTGTGGACAAACCTTTATCTTAAAAAACATCCACCAATGTCTACATTTAGTCCATAATCTACAGTAACTACAGAAAAATAATTACGAGCGTAAAAAACACAGTATCTTGCAAGTTGTTCGCATTTGGTAAACCACCACCTTGACCAACTGATAGAGACAAATTATTGAAATCATGTTGTATGAAATACAACGTCTCAATTACTTAACCACTAGCCAATAATGCGACCTTCATTGGAGAGCCTAGGCTTTGGCTGGCATAGTTGACTAGTTCTAAGTGTGGTGCGTTTTTTGTCTTATGTAGAGAAGTTTTTTAACATTACCAAATTGCAGGATTTTACATATTTTGGCGGTTTTGCATCTATACGATTCAGACTCGATTATCAAAATATATCAAGCAACTATCCTTAACCAATCGACCCCTGAGTTCTAGTTCACTAAACCATGGTTTTATATTGTATAACCTTTATAGTATTTATACGAAATAACATTCAATTCCTCTCTCTATTCGGTAGTTCACGTTTAGTTGGTTTTGTGGGGTTGATAATCAACTCACCATAATTACAAAGGCTGGGTGAATTGTATGGGGGAGGCAAACGTGGAGACCACGAATCAAACAGCGAACAAAATATTGGTCAATACACACAATTAGGTCTTACGTTTTTTAATATTATTGATAAAGGTCATCATTATGCGTAATTAAATCCCAAAACTAATTGTTTGAATTTTCAAAAGTAAAATGGAATGTATATAAGAATTACAAAACCAAACGATTTTATTTCCCTTCGTTATTATGAGTGATACAAAATAGAAGTACTTGCAATAGTTTTGAGGAAAAGCCGAACTTGGAAATTTCACTTTCATTAAAGGAGAAGCATGTCACTTACAAAGTAGAATTATAGCCGTAACAATAAAATAGTCCAAGAATAGTAACGCGCGTGACTGGAGGTTATGTACCAAAGTGTTGTCGATGTTTAATTGTTGGCTGTATCTGATTCTAGCCCACGTTCGGGAATGTTTACGGGTTAACCAGATTCTTCGCATTTCTGATTCTTGTAATAGCGCTATCCGCTCGGTTCGCTTTAATGGATTTATCTTTTATTTCCTTATTTTAGTGGCCGGTTCTAAAATACCTAGAACCACTACATGTGTCCGGCCCGCCATAAATGTTTCTATGAAAACAAGTGTTAGATCTCAATCGGGATCTTTGCTTGTTTTTCATTCTGTCAAGTTCCAGTAGGCAATAGTGTGGTTTCTTGAAACGTGCAAAATATTTTACTAATTCTAGATAAATTAAATGGAGGTTAAGCATTGGACAGAGGCCGCGTGCTATCATATAAAAAAGCTAATGTCATTAGAATAAACAGATTACATTTTCTTACAAGTCTTTCAGGAGTGATAAAAATTTGATAATTGATAATACACATACAGGCCATAACGAATATTTAAATATTTGTAATTACTTAAATTTTTTCGAGAGGTATCAGTGAGCAGATAGTTAAGGATATCCCACTGAGGTGCTCTAAATAGCGCAATATTCTCATGAGCCCTTTTAAAATCAAAGTTATAATTTTTGGGAGTAGGACAGAGTTGTATACACTACCAATCTTGTTCAAACGTGGTTGATCTATCAGTTGTTTCTTGTACTGAGAATGCGGAGGAGTTGAAGATGAAAACCGTAGTATAAGGGAAGAGGTGGGACTCCGTTGCAGGGGAAGTTAGTGGGAATCGGAGATAGGGTAGAACTGGGGTGGTGAAGAGGAAGAAAGAGAGAATTTACCACAAGAAACTGACCAATAAATCGCCGAATCACAATCCACTGGGGGTTTTATTATGCCTCTAGTGAAAAGGTAAACTAATCTTTACCTTACCTTACCCAAACTAACCATATCTATCATAACCCTAAAGTGCCGGACGACCACCAGCAGATTAACTTTAGCAATGCACATGTAAGAAAGTAGACGTTGGCCGTCTCCTAATTCTTTCAGCTCACAATTTTGAAATACAAGACTCATCCTACTGGTACTAACCTGAAGGTCCAGGGGCGGTAGGCGAGTCGGCGGTGGGGGAGGAGGCCGTCGGCCTGAAGGCAGTGGAAGGCCCGGAGTCGCTACAACTACTCTCCGGCTCACTGTCCGGCTCAGGAGGTGGCGCCGGATGCGGCAGAGGTAGCGGATGAAGAGGATGGTGTGCCGCAGCCAACCTTCGTCTTATCGTCTCCTCGCTCAACATCGGGTCTCCTGCTGCGGATAAAGACAACCACGCTACGAGGAATTAGAACCTTACGATAGGACGAGTATTACTGGCTAACCTAAACCCTACAACATTAACTCTACACCTAGAATCTCCTTCACGGTGTTCGGCCGTCGTGTGGGTAAAGTACGGGTGGAAACCAGGGAGGGGTGTTCTGAACAAATTATTACATTGTTATTTAATTAATTATTAATTATTTAATTTTATAAGACATATCGTTTCGTATTGAACGATTGCTTCTTTCAAATGTTCCGTTTTTACTCGTAAGTGTACCAAATGTATAGTCTATTTATTTTCAACACGAACACATGACACTCAAACGTTAAACGTTGAAATAACCAACATTTGAACAGATAATAGGAAAATGGGTTGTAGAAGATGTTTTGATGGCCCCCCAAGCCTGCACCCGACTTACCTGAAGGCCGAGACATCGTTGAGTTCAGAGATTCGCCCGAGATCTGTAAGCCATGGCCAGGGGTCGGTGGATGCATATTGGACAGATGGCCGCCAAACCCACCGATATCTTGCATTGTGGACCAAGGTCCGTATATATTTAGAACAAAAACAAAAACGCTAAAATCCAGCTCACCACCCGTTCAAAATACACACCACCGACTAGATCCAAGGACGAAAATCTGAACTCCGTAAAATGAAATTTTGTGCCTCCAAAATTAAGTAATTATTATTAACTTTCAGCATTAAAGTATTTATCTATCTATCTATGTCATTTTATTTACGAATGAAACATACTTGTGCCTATGGAGTCCCCTCTGCGCCTCCATTTCGTCGTTTGCACAACTTCAATCTTGATTCAAAAGCGCATTTTCGGATTTATGCAATTCTTTATAGTGATATAAATCATTATTTCTTTGATGATTTCTCAAATTAAATAACAAAATAAGTGAAAATGATAGAAAAAACTACTTCATTCTTGATTTTACTGTCATGATCAAATTTATTATATTTTTTCCAAATGATTTGTGTAGAGAACTCTTCTTAAAATGCATGTTGTGATTACATTTTAGATCACATTGAACATTTTATATTAAAATTCTTTTGTAAAATAAAACTTTAAAAATGTTATATGATGAATGGCAAAGTCAGAAAGCTATTTTGTGATGCTTAAAGTTCAAAGATAAAGATAAAGTAGTTTTAAAACTTCAAATGTTCATAATCTTCAATGTGTCCTTGTTTTCCGTAAGTTCGTCCTCTTCGGCAATCAATAATCTTGGTTTGATGAGTTGAAGAAGATAATCGTCTTGGTTTTTTATGCATAATAGCCTTCGTGGATCATCCATTAAGTCCATATTGGAGGTCTCCACTTCCATAGAATTCGTCGAGTCCTTTGTCTTCGATATTGTAGATGAAGATTCTTCGAGATCTCGGATGCGGTGTTCGGATATGAACGGTTGTGTTTTGTAGAGATGACATGCTTATATTGGAACCATGTATCGATTCATTATAGCTTTATGTAGTAAAATTTAAAAGAAAATTATAGGCATAACAACAAAAAATGCTTGTCCCAAAATGTATATTTTTTCGCCTTGAAGTGAAAAATTATTGCTTGATTTCAAAAGTAATAAAATGTTAATTCGCATCATAACTAATTATTAAGAAAGAACATCTAAATTGTTACTGGACAAGAAACAGTTAATAAAAAATGTTAATGATAAGCTAAATGTCCTGTGAATGCTCTTTTAAATTTGGAATTTTATAGTTCTGTAGAAACAATAGATTAATTCAAAGCAAGTATTCAGAAAGCATGATAAAACAATTTTGATAAATATTTCTTCAGATTTTCTTCAAATTGATGTTAATAATGTAAATAAAAACACCGAATAATCTTCTCAATTGTTTTAGCAATGCATCGAAGAAATAACCTTTCTTGATTTTGAAATGTTATTTTGGCTTGTTTGACTGTGAGTGAAGAAGGAACAGAATACACACAATTAAGATCATGTAAATGTCCCCTCATAATGCGATTTGATGTTTTAAATGTAACTGGAGCTGATTCCTCCGTATCTCAAATACTTTATGATGGATATAAAGCGTCAAATGTATTCACAGTTAAAAACATATGTAACTTGGAGATTAGCTAACGATCATGGACTGTATAAATTGTTTATTCTCACTTAGTACTGGAAAGATTCATCTCGGCAATGTTGAAAGGCGTCACAATATAAACCATTCTCAAAGACTTTTAAAAAATGATTTGATGTTCTTTGGTTGAATCCTTTCTTGAATAAAGTCCAGATGGGCTCTTCTAAATTTATCAAAGTGTGTTCATCATTTACTTGACGGCTAATATTTTCAAGTTGACTTGCCATTCCAATGCAATAAACTAGTCACAGAAGTCCTTAAATAATCATACAATTAAATTATAGATTCCTCGTCACTTCAGATGGCTTACATTGTCCACTAAATATTTGTCAAATACAATTTGCTTCACCTCAATCTTCGATGGTACTAACATTTTCTTTGGTCTATTCATTCATGTTATTAATGATGGTTTGAATTTTATTCTTGACTTTTGTTGCTTTCTGGCCGTTAAAATGTAAGAAACTGCATTGCATCTTCCTGCTCTTCTTTAATGGTTTTAGGGTTTTCACATTTGTTGCATTATTTTTTATGTTGAGAAAAAGTTATATTTTATGTTGCACATCCCTTTGTTATGTTTAAACAAATATAAAACAATATTTTCTTGATGTAAAAAACAGATTTTTATTTAAGTAAATTCTTCCAAATGCATAAATAATATTAACAGGAGGATTTAAAACTTCTGCATATAAGACATATATATTGTAATAATTTTCTTCTTAATAAATATTAAATAATTAAAAATGTTTATTGGAACCTGACTAACGTTGATTAAGAATTGTATCAAATTTGGTATAACACTTTTGAGCGTAAATAATTTATTTTGAAAAAGAATTAGTAATTACCAAATAAATTTTTTTATACTGACTTTCCAATAATGGTAATTCGTGAAAATGCCAAACGACACATATTTACAAAAGGCACTTCATGATGTGCAAGCACTCTTATTTTAATTTCTGGTTTTGGGATTATGTTGGAGTTACTTTCAATCACAAAATAAAATTTCTAAAAAGTTAGATTTTTCAATAGAATATTCTTCATTAGGATTGATCATCTTGAAGGCGATGATGAAGGTATTGAACATGACATGAATCAATTGAGAGCTTCTTCACAAATTATCCGAAATTATCGTAGAAGATCCAAAATGAGAATAGGCTATATCAAATTCTACAGCAAGCATAACTTAATATTGTACAAATCCAGTTCAACGTGTTCAGAAAGTAGTTGTATATTTTGGCTGGTTTCAAAACTTCCTTTTTGTCTGTACTTTCTTATATTTAGAATAACTCTTAGATCTTCAGGGCTAGCCTTAAATCTCTTCTTGCCTATCCATTCTTCTACTAGAGTGAGATATCTTCAGGACTAACTTAAAACATTTCGTTACTTATCCATTCTTCTACAACTGATGGGCCTTCAGGGCTAACTTCATAGGCACTTTGCCTAACCATTCTTCTACTTAATTGATAGTTAGGCCTTCATGGTTAACTTCAAACCTCTCGTTTCCTATCAATTCTTCTACATCAGTAAGTGTTGGATCTTTGTGACTTACTTAAACTCCCTCTTAGCTCGTGCAATCTTCTACTAGAGTAATTGCTAAATCTTCGCGGCTAACTTCAATTCTCTGAATTATTCCACAAAATACTTCATGATTAGGTTTGTTTTCTTGACGAACCTGTCTTCATATCTCCATCACTTAAGCTTTAATTAATTGTTTTATATTCAATATATGATAGAAGAAAGTATTCCTAATCTTCAATGTAGAAATATATAATCATTTTCGTCTATAGTATCTTCTTGGATATAGTTCTCTTCTCTTTTAAAAATTATTAATTCTATGAATATCATTATTAAATTCCTTAGTATTTATAGTTGGCAAAATAATCATGCCGGGCATTTAATGTAACCAAAAAAATATTGATATGATTTTTAGCAGTAACAATTTTTAATTACTTTCAACAAATTGAAAATTTTAAGATTAATTTGTACTCTAAGTGTTTCATACACCAAATTAATAGTTGAAAATATTTTCGATAATTGAAATAGAATTAAATTTGAGATAATAGACTCGTATATTAAAACATTTAGATTTTTGTTGGTAATAAATATTCAGAATGAATGAAATCCCCGTGCCGTTGCGGTAGCAAGGTATTCCCGCCCAATGGAATTCCTTCTTTGGTCCAGGAACTACAGCGATATTGATTTAGTTAAGTTATGTTAGAATGGAGGGCTGATCTTGTGTGTATTTTGTATCCGGATTTCAGATTTTCTCCTTGGTCATGAGCTTACTCCTCGGATTTTAAAAACTTCTATCGACTTTTAATCAAAAGCATCCCTGCCTCTCAAAGTACGATTTCACACTGAAACCAACACAAACAGGTTAGAGGGTTTCTAGGTAGATACAGTAATGTGACTAAAGAATGCAAAAATTCGAATGTGAGGGAGAAACCTAATAAGGGGGTCAAGAACTCTACGCTTTAGCATGCAGAATAAAACCCCGTTGGGTAATGATTGATTGTTTGTATTTACAAAGATTTAACATTAACTAATTGGAATTTATTTATGTAATGGTATTTTACAATCATATTTACAGTAGCATGGAATAATTATCGAAAGCAATGAAACGGTGCGGGATTTGTTTTATAAGTCTTTTAAACCAGATATAGTGTAGTACTTTTAATTTCTAATGTTTTTTTTTTACTTTGCATATGATATTTAATAAAATCCAAATAATCTGTAATGGGTCCTCATTTGATAGCATTAGCAAGATGTATGAAAAACTGTTTATGGAAACTTAATTACTTTACAATTAAGAATAAATCCACTAAAATCACGTTTACCGACGTAAATGTAAATTTCATTAGTCGAAAGATTCCACGGAGTTTGAAATAAATACAACCGTTATACCTAGAATAGTTTTAATAAAATGTATTTTTAGGTTTGGAGAAGTCAAGGAATTGTTGAAATCTGTTAGTAGTTAAGGACATTATGAAATCGTATTATTTTTCCCAAGACAGAAAAATAAATATTAGGACTATCGTCATCTCTCCTAATGTGTTCCTACAATCGAGTGCTCTAAAATACATATTTAAAAACCTAAATGTAAGTCAATTATAACTATAATCCTTTTGGCCAATCGTTTGTTAACCTGTATTAACAAACAAGTTTAAAGAGGTTTCAAGTAACAGAGCCACCCAAATATACATCAGAATTTCAACTAAACTTGGCGAAAATCCAGGAAAAATGTTTACATTTAATTTTGTAATGTTGCAATTGTTTGTAAAATTGAATATTAAAAAGAGGAAACACACTTTAGCAATAGTTGGTGTGCGCCTGCTAAGAAAAAAACCCCTTGTTGCAGTGATAATCTTCACCCTTATTATCTATTTTATCAGGTTAAACCCGTGATCTCGGCCCCTGGATTTTATGACGAGTGAATGATATTAAATCCTTCCTAACTTGTTGCCTAAGGGTGACTCTGTGATATCAACATATAAGTGAAAGTAACTTGTGCCTTGTCTACCTGGGTGGTGGTGGCTGCCAACGTGATGACCAGGGTGCAGTGAGTGTAAGGGGTTGGAGTCCGATGTTCCTACGACGTCGACTAGCTTGTCGTCATCAGGCTCCGTTCTCGAGGGCTCTGAAGGTCTCTTGGTATCCTCATGATGCCTCTGCGCAGCCAACAGCGCCTGTCTTCTGCGGACAACCACGTCCATGAAACACTGACAGGTAGGGGGCTGACGATCACGGGGTCGGAGGCAAGGACAACTGATGGAGTTTGGGGTGAAAATGGATTCAGTGCAGGCGAGAGGTTTAGAGACTAGTCCTAGGGATCCTATGCAGGTTTTGAAGGACGTGAAATCTTATTAAAATATCTTTGGGTGTACGGAATTCGGGAGTTAGATGGATATAATTGAAGGGGAGGTAGTATTTCATAAATGTTCCTAAAGCTAAAAAATATCTTATACAAGAACATGAACATTTTGGCTATGTGCTTCTCAAAGGTCTACATTATTGCTTATTAGTTGACTGCCTCAATAAGGTACAGTGATTATGAATAGAAGAAGAGATTATGATTTTGTCATGGAAAGTCATTGATCTACCACGTGCTGCATTAAAATATAGCATTTCAATTGCGGAAAATGATTTCAAATTTATTATAAAAATTATAAGAAAGTTTAGAACAATTTTAAAACCAAATATTTTTATATCGCAAGTAAAACATTGTTTTCCCACTACACCCTGCTGAATCTCCGGGTGTAGTCGTCGCTCGCGGGGTGGCGTATGCCCTACTGCAGGACATCGGATCGGATCTCGAAGATCGATATCGGCCGCTATCTAAATATCTCGTTAAACGAATACCGATCGCCCCAACGGGGGTATATTGGCTATTAAGTGGCTTAGGACAGCGGGGACGGGGCCAGGTCGAGAATTGAAACAAGGGAAGCATCAGCAAAGAAAGGGGTGTTAAAAGGTTAAAATAAAGGTACCCTAACCGCGCAGTGGGGGTTAGCATGAGTAATTTAAGTGCGAAATGTGGCAGCCCCAAAGGGCGATGTAAAAGCCACTAATGATAGAGAGGGGACCCAAAGGTCAGGGCTCCTTTAATAAGTCTGATAATCCGACCCTTTGCCATTAGTCGATCGCCTCCAATTATAGAATTTATCGCAGAAAATATTCACGAGTCCAGGATCACGTCGGCTTGGTAACTCAAAAATTTAGCTCACGTATATGCGATTTTGATTTTGCACTATTTTTCAATTCTAGAAGTTTTCCAACATATATTTTTACCACACAATGATTTGTTTACAGTTTGAGGTTTGTACAAAATGATAATAATTTATGAAAATATAGGCTACATAGGTAAATATGTAAAAAAGTTATCCATTACTTTGTTAAAATAGTTTTTCTGCAATATGGATGTAACCAGCACTTTGAAAGTGGCTCGGAATCAGTATAGATTAAAATAAATTTTCGATATTTTTTATAACCCAAAAAAACATTACTTTTACATTATTTTACATTATTTTTGCATTATTTTTACCAAAATTAAAATCTTAATGGACCACAAATGGGTTATTAACTCATTCTTTTAATAATCACATTATACCAACAACACAATTTTACGTTTAATACTCGATAAAATTTAAAGGTCAAATCGCAAATTGTTTACCGGTAACGAGAGTTGGGTTTCAGTTGGCCTCCGCTTCGTCCTGCGATGATAACGAGACCCCGTATTATGTTCCTCCCCTAAACCCCCTGTGGCTACTGACATCGATGTGAGAATTTCATTAGTTTTAATAAAATTACTAGTCTTTGAGCAGCGACTGCGGGGGCGAATCCCCACTGTGTCCACGACATTTGCATTCCGTCCCGACTTATCGAGTTACCCGGTCTCCGATAGTGTTTGCGCTTCTATCGGCCAGATTTGGAAGTAATCTGTATTCCGGCAGCCTCCTGATCGGACGGCCGCTGACCTTAGGGTAATCGAATCACGAGGAGTCGGGCTAAATTACACCCAAGAAGGGTCGGACAGGTTTATAGTTTGCAGGGCCTCTGATTGATTTCAAGTTAAATGAAATTTGAAAAGATAATGCACGTTTACACCAGTAATAACTCACATTTGCTTTGACCCTTTTCTTGAAACACTTTTGGTGGTCTCTTTTACTGACAAATTACTAAGTATTTTTGTTTTTATTTTGTGTTAACAATTCAAATTCGTTTGATTCTACCTAATAAGAAGTAAATTGGCAATTAGTATGAAGTAATTCAGTTATTTAAATCGAGTATTGAAAGTTTTTGCATAAGTGTCATATAACAGAGATGATGTTGTAGGCCTATCGTATTGATGGTGGTTAGGTCAGCATTTTGTTGTGTCTGTAGCACGGTTGATGGAGATACACGATATGGCCCATTTTCCAAAACAAATTACGTCAGAGACAAAAAGGAGAAAAAATCGTATTTTTATATTTTTGTAAATATATATTTGTTTACAAAACAATGGTTAATTTCACTCTTTCAAAATATTGATGTTAAAATTTGTAAGTGTTCTTTTGAACTTTTAAAGAATCCTAACTATATATATTTTACTTTCGAACCAGCTAGTTTTAGTATAAAAATTAACGTTAAAAATGTTGCAACTGACAGAGGAAAATTATTCTCTACTTTTTCTTTAGAACAAATCACCTTTTTTACTAAGCCAAACTGAGGGGACACTATATTGTAAACTATAGCACATTTGTTCGTCACATTTACTATCACTAACTCAAACTAAGGTAGTGAATAGACAAATTTACTGTATCCCTCCTTGCGAGCCTTTTCAACTGTGTTCTTTACAGATATTTTCCAAACTGAAGTATACAAAGTTATTGGTATGTCTCGTACAGTGTTCCAGTGAACGTAGTCCGTTGTTTCGTATGCCGATACCGTATTAAAACATGTATTGACATTGCGGTATGTCACCACCTATGTCTCCAACTGTAGTTTCGCTGGTGATGTCAAGGGTGTCGTAGCACAAGGGGCGCCATTACCGTAATCATGACGTCAGATGGATATATCAGCCGGGTCAGATCAGATAAGAGCAAGTTATAGTTCCCAGACCCAAGACCCAGGACCCAGACTGGGACAGGTGGTGGATAATGAGCTTCCACAAGCATTAACACCTTGTAAGACGTGAGCTTCTACGTCTGTACACCCATCTGCCTGTTAATGTCGCTCTTCGGATTGAGCAGCTCATTAATTAGTAATTCGAGGCTTCAACCCCTCCACTGCCCTGGGCTTTTACGTTTAATGTAAACTATACTAAACTGTTAATCAAACAATCTGTTGGCTTAATCTATGTGATTATCGGTAAGTTTTTGCGTATCAAATGAATTATTACTTTTTGAGTATACGTCACTGATTTGAAGCTACCCTGATGAACAATAGTTTCAACAATTCCTCAAGAGAATTAAAATCAATTATATTTTGTAGCAATAAATGCTTGATACGTTTTGTACCGTTATCGTAATTCCCTAATAGTTATCGATTGCGTGAAGCTATTTTGGCGAATGCTGTTAACAATTTCTTAAACGAATCGCGCTAATTTGAAAATTAAAGATTCCCAATATACAAAGATTGCAAATAGTGTGAATTTCGAATATTTGTAGAAAGCATGTTGATAATATAAATTTATTAGTATCTCTGAGAATTTAGTGTTGTATTTGAATTGTGAAAAAATCATGTATGTAAAGTTGTGCGCTATACAAGTAGTAAATTATAAACGATTACCCTTTTGAAAAATTAACTTTGAAATTTAAAAACACTACATGTATTTCTAAATTATCAAAACTATACGAATTATACATAAAAATTCTCCACTAAGTATACAGTTTATGTTTCTATTAGGGAAGATTTGACGAAACATCGTTGATATTAGGGCACGGTTCACGGAACCTTTGAAGAGGATCGAATGACATTTGCAGTGGCAGAAACAGATGTAGGAGGGCCATTAGATACTAGAGATACTGGTAATGGTTATCAATGAGCGACCATGTGACAGCGTTTAGGCGTTTAGGGAGCGTTTAGCCTCCGCGACAGCTGACCTAGCACCTGGTGCCTCTACTGTGTCTCCAAACTCGATTGGCCTCTCTACTGTCTTTCTATATTCACTTGAACTTAGTCTACCAGTAGCTATTATAACCATACGTGGTATACTTTCAAGTCACAGCGTCGCAATAAATTTAGGTATTTTGCAATTATACCCTTAAACAACTTATTTTATTATTAGTTTTCCTGAGATTCAGTAAAATAATTTCATCCAGAAGAAAAAGGCATTCAGATTGGTGTGTTTTAGCTTTAAGTATTTTGATTTCAAATTCACGATCAAATAAATATTTCCCCCAAAAAATGTTTAAACTGGAGCCCGATACATTGTGACCTTCTATAAATAAAGCATCACTTTAAATATTTCTTTTTTACTTTTTTATACGAAATTTAAAAAAAAAACACTAGAAGAATATTGTTTTATTGAAAAACTGTTGATCATTACTTTTTGCGCAATAAATTAATCAAGACTTTGCATTAACACGATCAAATGGGTCGATTAAATAATTTAAAATTGATATTTCAACAACCCAACCAACACCACTAACTGAGGGACCAAATTATTTAAATAATGTTATGATTAACATACCTACTTTTATCGTCTGTTGCATACCCAATTCACCAAGCAAACCCCAAAAGAACAAGTCGTGATTAGATTGGTGTTACATTCCGCCCAAACCCACCAGCGTCGTGGTTTCATTTAGATTTTATGGATTTCCCAGTAATTTAATCCTTGTATTTTATTGTAAGCATCCCGGTGTGATGAAATAAAAAACTCGCTAAAAGTCAGATGAGAGTATCCTGCGATCTACAAGCCTCCTAATTGTCCTGTGTTTAGTCGCTTGTTAACGTAGTGTGGTCTGGCGCCCACGAGTCGCGCTGCAATCTCCCCCCTCCCCCCCCCCCTGCAGACATCTCTACACAACTAATGCTCTCTGTTTTGCAGTTTTTGTTAGAAATTGTCCATCATTCGCTTTCTCGACTCTAGTTGCATATCTGGCTGATCGTCTTATTTACTACAGCCCATTAGTTGGAGAATTTGAGTAAACGTTCTAAACGTAATTGCTCGTTTGGATACCTTTTTGTCATGTCAATGTTCTATGTCTGTGCTTGAAAATACTTGCCATTAGAGTGTTTTAATACAAAAAATATCTGTTATGAAGTGAAGGACATACATGTCTATGCACATTTTTTTAGTGCGTTTCCAACAAAATTAATTGTAAAAGTCCAATATATCATACCCCTGGTAACAACATTCTTTCTGTCAGCTAGTTTGTTCCTCAATATTTTTGGATTCCGCAAATTGAAAAATACTTCTCTTCTGTCGTGACCAAATACGAACACTCTTCATTTGTATGGCGTATATAGAAATGTATCATTGCAGACTGAAGGTATTTCCATGAGCAAACTAACGATAATAAAACTTGTGTGATTGCTTTACTCAGTGGGTTTGAATAATTAAAATTAATAATATATTTAAGGCTGCTCAATAACAAAAGAAAATGCTAGATATAAGTTTTAAGACAGCTAATAATTTAAGAACCACACAGCTTTATTCGATACACATTTTTACAATCTACATAGGCCTAGCGACGAGAATCTATGTCGCACTGTGTCTCGGTAAGCTGCATTTATTTGTTAACAGGATTACATGCAGCCCTTACACGATTACAACATGTATTACATGCACTAGGAGAGCTTACCATTTGCGTCACCATACTTATATTACAACTTTCAAATATCCACAAGTATTCAAAAAATGTTCTATCGCATTTCGTGCAATAAAATATGAACAGCAGGAACACTTTACATAGTAAACGAGGGGAGTTGAAACACAAGTAATATTTACTTTCGAGTGGGAATAATAAGGCGTAGCGAGTGCAAGAGGGTAGAGATAAACCTGAAGGTTATACTCGTACAACATAAAAGTACAGTGCAGTTTAATGTTAGTGGAGCGACCTAACGCAGCCACTACGACTCAAGGGTCGGAGGCACGCAAGGCGGACTTCTCGGCCCCAACTTGTTTTGTGGATCGATGTAAATGTGTGTCTCCCGGCAAAACAATGCATAAGTCAACTGTATGATTTTATATTGCTATTTTATTTCGTTAAAATATATAAAATAAGTAGTTATGTAATTTTGATGGTAGAAGAACGAAGAACGGTTTTTAATGACCGTTTCCTAAGTTTTCAATAATCTTAGAAAAAGGAATTATTTTAGTCTAGGCATCCTCAAACAGAACGAAATACTGTAGGAGTTATGTGTATGCGTGGCCTATATTACCTCGCAATTGTCCGTCCACGTAGGCCTCAAAGGCCTAAGCGTAAATTGTACCATTGACTATACACAGAGTAGACTTTCCTTCCAATGTAAAAGTTTGAAGCCCTAAAACGTGGTGAAATCTGTTGAGATGGTCTACCATTTAATGACAATATTCTGTGTTAAGTGATAAAACCATCAGCTGTTGGCATGGATTTTAATTATTATTTTACCAAATACACTAGTACCCTCTGGTGAGATGGTCCTGGACTCCGTTTATTTTCTTGACTTGAAATCTTTAAGTTGTATGGGACGTCTACTCCATGTATAGTCAAATATTTCACCAAACAAAGCAAGTGGTGAACCGGTGCAGCACAAGAATTTATTGTATAAAAATGTATATAGTGGCACCGGGACTCGAACCAACAACATCGTTGACTTGGTTCCATAGTCCATCATGCTACCGAATGAGCCACCATTTCACCTATGAGGGTGAGTTTAACACTTCAAGCTGAGATATATTTATTTTTTTCTACTATACAGTCTAGGGTATTTGCAGGTCATATTCTACAGATAGGTGTTTCAATTTTTATTGCACCACATGAGTTCAATGTACAGTACTCTAGTCCTAAATGTAATGAGTGTTATAGCAATTAATAACTACTCACTTTTTCTCTCTTTTCCCAGCTCCCGTATCCCGGAACCCCTTGGCGAATGGATTGTTATCTATCTTCAGTTGTGTTATCTGGAAACAGGCAAAGTGATTTAGATGTTGCCGATTTGAGAATAAATAACCCTAATTCAAAAAATGGATTGTTAGATTTCCTTAATTGAGGAAAGTAAAATTGCATTTACGCATAAGTTTAATGGTATAACATAATAGCAAAACCAGGACTATTTGCCAGAATTACTTGTGTACACTTTAATTAGTTTATTGATTGTATTTAAAAAGTGCCTTTAATGCAAATAAACCATTCTTTTGACACTGAATTGAAAGAATTTAAGTATTAGAGTAAACCATAGCAGAGTATGCAATGCATATTGGTATTTTGATAAATGCAGATTTAAATGCCAATAGTTAAGATTATTATAATTGTATTGAAGTTTAATTATTATAAATTCTTGGTTTCAATTCAAACCTCAGTGAATTCATCCACGTACAATCCTCATTTCATATACATTTTGTTACACAATATAATTAGGTACAAATAGACAAACAAACACTAATTGTAAAAAAATCCTCCTAAACATTATCATGTAAAGAAACCAATTCCCATGCCTTCAATAAGGTATATAAAACTTATAGAGTCATACGTTTTTCAACAGAATTATTCATAATTTTAGCAACTCCTGAAATAGAAGACATGGGGAAAAGGAAAGGACAGTTCCTCGAATGTATAAATTGAGTAAAATTAAACTACACATTGTGGCACAAGAAGCTTTACCTTTTCATTCTGGTAGGCGGTGACAGCGATGAATTCAGTTTCTTTGAAGACATAGGTTCGGAAAGTAGAGTAAGGAAGCTTGAGGATGTCGTTGGCACGGACTAGGTGAAACCTGGGCTGGTACTTGTGCATGGAGTTTAGTATCGTCTGTGGAAACATAAGAGGGATCAGTTAAGTTAAGGCAATTCTTGTAAATACATTCTGATGTATTGACTGGACACCTGTTGGAACTCGCCATCCTGTATAGGTTAACCACAAAACATGGATTATGAATGTAGACTTTCATGATAGTTTTCCAAAGAAGAAATCCTTGCGAGTTTTATGTTCACCCGTGTTGTCTAGGAAACGTGAGATGCAACCGATGCAACGTGTCGGATACATACAGTTCTCCATCTCCAGAGTAACGTGTAGACAGTTCATGCACAGCACTACTATTTCTTAGAAGGGGCTGAATATGTGGACTACTTTAACACTGAGAAATACATTGGTCCAATTCTATAGCCTACTGAGTTTGAAGAAATAAAATGTTGAAATAGTAGGTTTATGTGCCACAGTAGGAGGGTATTAAACGCAAATCATTCTTTTCACTGGTTCTCTTAAAATTAACTAAATAATTTTTCAGGCTAATTATTTAGGCCGTATTTACCCTTCGTCTCGTAAAAATAGTATAATCACCTCTAATTACGACAAAGCAATAATATTCCGTGTTACATGTGTTTTATGGCGAAGAAAGTAGGTCAATAAAGAAGAAAGAGCAGCTTGTGATAAGTCCCTGGACAGGGAGCGGGCCAGCGCCGTGGGTATCGACAACTAACCATCGGTTAGAAGATTTCTGCTTGGCCCAAGGCTGTGTTTAAAAATCGATTCATAAAACACCGAACCACCTTCAGCAACAGCCTAACAACGAACATAGGAACCGTAATATATCTACTCTTCGTTCTTCAGATGATAATCGAGATGTTAAACAGTACTGCTGAAAACACATCGTAAATAAAAGCGCTGTCGGTAGTAAAAAGTTGAAATTCGCGAGACTTAAATCAATAGTAGCCTGGGGCGGGCCCCGACAGTCCATAGTTCTTTATTGTGAGGTGATCAACACAATAATGAGGATGAGGTTTCGGGTTGGGACCTATTTATATAAGTTGTTCACAACGACACTTTGATCAAAGTTAGGGGTACTGTATAAGGAAGAAAGTCAAAACCTAGGAACTGATAAGGGAGAACAACCAAATTAACCAACCCGACTATGTGGAGATAAAGAGTCGATGTTATATGCTTCAAAACTAACCATGTAGAGTCAATTTACGTCAAGTGAGTGATTGCACTTATAAAATGCTGTAAATTCTTATCAAGTGATATCCTTAGAAATCCCTAATGTTCCCATAGTTGATACTTGAAGCTACAAAAAATCCAAAACTAATCGGATTGACCATGGGGATCGAGCCATAGTCCCTCAAATATTGCTTAAATAACTAACCGTAGTACTTCCAACGATGATCAATTGATCATAACCGTATTTTTTCGATACTCATGTAGGTACTCTCAGTTTTTTGAAACCTCGTTCTTAAGAAAATCTTACAAGATCAAACCACTGTCCAAATATATTCTTGGCTACTTTAAAGGAGTATTACAGAATATTTACTAATCAATACAGTGGATCAATATATCTAGATGATAACCATTGAATAGCTACACACAATAATTGATCTCTTTGTTTCTGTTACGGAATCAGAAACGATGGGTGGATTGATAATTCGTCATCAAGATGTGTCCAACGATAGCAAAAACACAAAACAGGACCAGAAACAAACCGTGTCAATGTCACCGGAGTGGTGTTACTAGTTACAGAGTTTGTATTACACCGTCTCATACCATAATAGTATGACAATTCAAGAGAGCAGTGTGAGGTCTAAGCAACGGACAGGTTAATTCCGTTTCAGTATTTCCAAATGAAACACATCCAACAATATTTTATATATCAATGACTATACTGTATACATAACTTGTTCCTCTAGGTTATTTCTTTGTACGAATCCCTTCTTACTACAATTTTACCATTGATAAATTTTCAAAAGTAAATTTACTATTATTACCATTACAAATTCTTATGGTGACGTAACCTATGCGTATAGTTTAGATTTGCGTGTGTATTTTAACCAAAACATAAAATAAAGGTGAGTGTAGAATGAAGGTGTCTTTTTTAGGTTTATTACCAAGAACAGCTGTTCCATTAGCCGAAGTCATTTATTAAAACCCCAATGATCTAGGAGAGCAGGGTCCTGTTTCGAACATGGTTCAAACCAAAAACTTTTAAATTGTTAGGCGAGTACTATAACCTATCACTACCCATTAAACAATGATCATAGAAAAATAAAAACAATTTACATTCAATTGACTTCTGTACACACAGAATTTGTTAATTTTTACTACAAAACTCAACTCGTCCATGTGGTAGGTGCAAAGTTGTTGGTCCTGGTGTAGAAAATGCCCCAATCTGTAGTAGAATCTAGATCTGTAAATAGCTTCGCTGTAGGGCCCAACTAGATTGCCAGATTACAATAATTAGTGTGACGCTATTAGGTTCTAAATAGCTCGCAGCATGCCTCACCGTGTCGCTCTCATCAACCATCTTTTAGCTGTTTGTCATGACGAATTTCACGTTTTAATTCTTAACAATTCACGTACAAGGTGTGGTAAGAGAACTTTCTTTAGGTAAACGGTTTCAAGTGTAACAAACAGTTTTTCAATCATTATGTATTGATTGTAAAAATAACTAACAAAGGTATCTTATATATATTCATGATAAATATTTACAATAGTACTTGACGGAAATTGTTTTATCATAAGCAATGTCAACTTTGGTTTTATATTTAACTGTAATGTAACACTACCAACAACTTTTAGCGAATTTCCCTATAGGGAAGCAGCTATTACCGTAAGTCTCATGGTAAGACCTAGGCCCGGAACCGATTTACTTTTTCATTTTGTTGTCCACAGAGGCCAAAAACACCATTCGTTCAAATCTTGATATATATGTCCATCCAGACGATAACTTGAGTAATTTTTTTCCAATTTTGATAAAATTTGGTTTGAAGGTTGAGGTTTGAGTTCGCGCTCTAGCATGATCGGACCATGGGAACGGGGTTTTACGGGGGCTTTATGGGGTAAAATTGGGGGTTTCTAATTTTTTTACCCTTAAAACACAAAATTTATCAATTTTTCTCCAGACATTTTAAAGAGCTTAAAAAAACGAATAATTTAGTATATCAAAGTGTTTTTGTACGGTGATTAGTTACGGAGAAAATAAAAAAATTGTAATTTAAAATTCCCATGTTATTCTTATGGAGAATATTTTAAAATTTTGTAGTTGGCTTGTTTATAGATATATTTTGATCAAACTTGGGGGATTTATTTATTTCATACTAAGCTAATAGTTTACTATTTTAATATATTTGAATAAAAACACAATTTATTAGTTTCCCTGTAGCAGCCAACCTAGGTACTCGTTAAACATAAATATTAATTTAATAGATTAATTAAAAATTAATCCAGGCAAATGGTAATTCGCTTAGTCGGCAGGTTTGCTGCAGCGGGGGTATTTAAATGACCCATCAAAAACCTGGCGTCACATACAAGCAAAACTAACGTATAGCCAGTTACATAATTTATAATCTATTGATAATGAAATACTATTCATTTATAATCACGCGACCTTACCAGTTACAGTTTTCTATTTTTCAAAACCGATCTAGAAGAATTTATCGCTGATGGTTTACCAGACGATAAAAAACCTCTCACCACGACTCCAAAGGGAGCCGCTAGTTGTTTAACCTCTGTTTTAATAAAACATCGCAAATTAAATAGATCGTGATGTCATCCGCGCGCGGCGGTCGGAACTGGTGGTATTAATTGTCGAACTCAGACTCGTTCTGTCCGACGTAGGACACGATACCCCACACAGCTTCAGCAGTCAGCAGTCACAGTGGAATATCTACTAAAGACAATAAATTATTTAGCATTGCGGAGTACGTAAAATCGACACCGTAACATGTGACAATTGTTGTTACGGGTGGTCTAGGGCTCAGATCCTGTCATTTTCTAAACATTAACTAATGAATTACCTAAAGAACATGTACGAATGGGTGGTCTTGGGCTGGAATATTAACAAATCGCAAAATAAATAACTTATATATGTTCCAATATTTTTCGATTTTTTAATGGTTCTTTCGCCATTCAAACCCGTTAGAAGACAATGATTACTGAATCTCACTGTTTTACCTATTGGTTATAGATGTATTGAAACTGGTAAACCCAGTATATTGAGTCCGTGTTAATCCAGAATAAATTACTTAATGTATGCTGGTTAATAATAGACGAATCCTCTTAAAATTTGGATATTTTAGTTGATTGTAGACTTTTAAAAGTCGTTAAACATGACACATTTAGCGTTCCTTGCATCTAGTATTTATTGAACCAAAGTGTTTTATATGGGTGGGTCTTATTTAGTCCCATCGACCAATAGACCCCAATTACCAATCATTTCATACATTCAGTGCACAGGCAATAGTATCTATGCAATTCGCTGAGTAAAGACACCAGTGTAAGTTGATTCCTTGAACTTAATGCCTTCGCATTGTTTCAGCTAAAAAAAGATCGTCGAAAAGCGAGTTCGATTACCAGAGACGTATAAATTGTGTCGATAAGCCTTAAGAATACCGGGGTAAGTTGTTTTTAATTGGGTGGTAATCCAGCCGCGTACAGGTGCGAACCTTTCTAGATAAGAAGAAATCCGAACCGTGTGAGGCCGCGAGTGTACACTGCGTCTCGGGCGCCCTGCTCGTGTAGGATAATGTTTATAATATTGAACATAACCGTTCATATTATTGTGGTTTGTTGTAATCTCACAAAAAAATTATAAGTTAATCAAATCTATCCGTATCTGAGGTATATGATGAGTCATAGTCATAAAATGTGTTAATATCGGTTAAATGGATGTGCGAGTTACCTTTTACTATCATTGTTGTTATTTAGTCATATACGTTATTTGCATCAACAAGCAATTAATTAAAATTATGTAAGCAGAAAGTTTAATCGTTTTAAAAGTAATAATACAAAACTATAGATTAATCCGATGCGGTAAAGAACAG